ATGCCTTCAGGTGGAGTAACTGTAAATGAAGGTAGAAAATGCCTTTTCCCGCTGTTCACAGTATTCCCAGCTGCTGTTTTTACTGCTCATTAGCCTTGTTTTTTCCTGATAAATTAGTTGTTAGGAGAGTATTCAATGGGTAGGACTTCCGGAAAATACTTTCAGCCCAGACATGCTAGTAATTTTAAAAAAGACTGCATGTTTGCTTCTTCGCAAGAGCTGTGGCTTACCATGGTGTCTGCGCTGCCCATGGCGTCCGTGCTTTGCTTCGGGTGGGCATTCACAGAGGCAGAAAGCTCCAGCTGTCTGTACTGGTATTGTCTGGAGGAGGCAGAGTGTGAGACAGAGCAAATAAACCCCTGTCTTGACGGCTGGGGTTCAGCGCGCAGAAGGACTGGCAGCAGGCTGCAGCCCGGATGCCAGAGCTCAGCCCAAGTACAGGCCTTAATGCAAGGAAGTTTGCAGCCTGACCGGTTGGGCTCAAAATGTGGCTACATGTTGCTGTTTGGGATGCTTGCCACCCGCTTGCAACATCCAGATAATACCTTGGGCTCAACTGCCAGCCCGCGCTCTCTTGAAATGCTGCTGACTTCACTGCGGCTGCTGCGGAGGCAATGCACATTGCTGGGCATAAGGCTTAGAGAATGCCAAGTCATTTGGGAGGCTTACTGTGACCTGAATGAAAAGTACTCCTTCTTGGTCATGTAAAACAATGAGGTGCTTTATAAAAACTTTTCCTCTGCATTCCACCTACCCCTTTTAGATCTTTTGAATGGCTTCGTGTAAAAAGGCAGTGGGCAACATGTACTTAGTCCAGATGGAAAATCTCCTGTGAAATCTCATGGCAGTGTAGTCCTTATTCTTTAAAATATGCAAACGAGGTGAAGATTGCAAGGCAAGTCAAAGCTTGTTCTTGCAACAGCAGATTCTCACCCAAGACTTGTGGAAGACAGGCAACAGGCAGATTGTTGTCTGTAGTCTTCCAGAAAGGTGGTTGTCTTGAGTTTTGTTAACTATTATTTAAGATTTATTAAAATCTTAACATGTTCTTATATTTCTTATCAGAACTCCGCCGTGCCGTGAGGAGTAGTTTGTGGAAGAAAGAAGCTAGAATCCATGAACATGATTATGGACCAGAAGAAAACATTGATGAAGATACATATAAAAAGACCTGTACTGTCTGTGGCCATGAATTAACTTACGAGAAGATGTAGTGGTTTTTTTTGTTTGGGTGTTTTTTTGATTTTTTTTTTTTTTTTAATTTCATTATCTTTGTAATGTTATTTTGTATTAAAGTAAAATAAATGCTAATTATGAACAAGCTGTTGCCAAATTCTATGAAGAACGATGTTCCTCAGTTGCAAGAAGCTCTGTACAGAACAATAAACTTTGGCATTTAAGCTAGATCATGGTATAGAATGTAACACATCTTTAACAGTTCAATAAATTGGTACCTTGTAGGCTAAAAGATAAGTTGGTATAGTTCTAATTCATACGCTGATGAAACAAAGGTGAACTTCCCACTGTTTGCCTGCTTCCATTAGAGGAGGAAGGCTCCATGTTCTGTCCCAGGGGTTACTGGTTGTGGGCGGGCAGAGGGCAGCTAGCTGGTAAAGCACCTCCTCTGGGGCTTGGGGGCGGTGGCATGGGGCGGGTCCTCCTTCTGCTCCCATTTGGAAACTTGACTCCACTAAAGGAGAATTCTGGTTGGTTCTCTCTCAAAAGCAAAGCGCATGCTCCTGGGAAGGTTCTGGCACATCTCCACCATGTTTCATAGGGGAGAGTCCTTACATGTACCCTCTACTGCCTCCACCCCCCAAGTTTTGGACCAGACACCACAGTGGCTGTTACAACTTCACCCTTTTCATTTACAAATTTCTGACAAACACCTATCCTTGGGGGGGAGGCAGGGGAGTAGCAGTCCAAGGTAGATCTCTCCAAGGGCGCCTGAATGATGTTTGCTTTCAGTGGAGGGTGGATTTACTTTCAAGCTCAAATTTCAACTCTTCGGTTCTTGCAGCTGTTGTGGAAATGGCTGAAGTGAAGGAACAGCCTCTGGGCAGGGGCTCTGCATTTGTTTGCCATCGTAAATAGAGCAGATCTGTGTACTTCTTAGGGGAGCCTGGGCCACTGTGGCTGTGCAGAAGGGAAATGTTAGAGGAGGAGAGGCGTCGGGGAGGGTGGATGATGGTTCCACTAACAGGGCTTCACTCCTCCAACGCTCTCCCATGGTCTGCAGCCCTCGGTGACCTGCTGTCCCACCAAGCACGGAGGACTCGGGGGCCCTGCAAGGCTGGCAGTGTGGCACAGGGGGGTAGATCCTGGCAGAGCTTTTGGAGGCAGTCCCCCAGGTCATGGTTCCATGACCTGGCTTTGCTTTGGGTCCCAACACCCCTCTCTGGGGCAGCTGGGTGCTGTGTGCTGGCTGCATCGCTTACCTGTGGGCAGGCTGCAGCAGCCGCCCCTCAGCCAGCGCCACCAGCCCACCCCTGCCCGGCCTCCTGCGGCAGCACCGCCCAGGAGACGAGGGGGCAAGGGAAAGGCAGAATTCCCGCACCGGCACCCACTGGGCACTGAGCAGCACACATGCTTGGCTGCACAGGTAGGGGAATTATGTTGGATCAGCCCATAGCGCAAGGAGGTGAAGCCCTGCTTGTTAGCCAGGCTACCTGCAACAGTGCAGGGGAAACAAAGCTGCTCCAAACCCAACTGCGTTTAACACCAGCGCAGCCCTGCCATGACTGCTCTGCTTCCCTGGCCCCCAAAAGAGGTAGGACAAACACTGCCAATAGTAACCTGCTTCACCTTCATTTATTTTTGTCTTTAATTGTGCATTTTTTCCAACCACATCACATTTCTACAGCATCTTTACTTTCCACCACCTCCTGCTTCAGCAGTTCCAAGTTTCTCCAGTTAGCTGCTGGTGTCACTATGCAAGCGTCTCCTCTTTCCGACAGATCCAACCAGTTCCCCAGTCAAGTCAGGTGTACGCCACCTACAAAGGGGGTGGTTTGCAACAGACTCAAGAAATGTAATCAAAGCTCATGTTCACCATGGAAGTAAAATAAATTGTGAAAGACGTTGCTATTTGGTTTTAAATCACAGGGTTACGCTCAGGCATTTGCAACTGGATCCCCAGCACCCATATTTGTCAAGGCTCAGAGGAAGTTACAGGTTTGCAAGTTTTAACTGCATGATCAGTTTTACAGAAGTCACATTTATAGTCAGACCCCTACACCATTGGTTAATATCAGAACCCTGATATTGATCCCAGCCAGTGAAAAAACCTATTAAATCCCAATTAAAACCTCTACAGTATTAAATGTTTATTTAAAAAAAAAAAAAACTATCTGATTACGCGAGAACATTAACAGAGAAAGATTGGAAGCAGAAGCCTGTGCATAACTGACAAAACCCTTGCGTAAAGCAAATTTACAACAATTAACAGTATACCCTTGAAAGAATGGAGGGCTCAGTCAAACCAGAAAGGGTAAGCAGAGAAAGCAGAAGTACCAGATCTAAGTCTATGAGGATATATTGGATTGCTACAGGCCACACACAAACTTATGTCGATGCTCAAAGTAGAAAGCTCCATTTTTAACCCTCCTCCCTTGATCAGGAGGTCAACTGGTCAACGTACAGATGAAATGTGTTATTAGGTATAATACTTGAAAAAGTAATTTGTACAGGAACAAAATTACTCAAAGCTCATCACTTTGTAAGCTTAAACTGAGTATCACTGGGTATGAAATCCTTTAAACATTCATCTGCAACATGAAGAGACCGTAAATAGCCTGGAAATACGCTGCACGCTGACAGACCTGAGCACCTAAGGCAGTGTCTTTGCCATTCGTCACTGCTTACCGTAACACAGACCACTCTGGTTTGGCGTTTATGTACGTAATGTTATTTGCATAACTCAAAACTAAGGCTACTCTATTTGCAGGTTGTGTTTTCCCAGTCTAAGTCTCCTGTGAGATACCACTTAATGGAGCATTAAAACGCTTTCTGAAGACATGGGAGCCACGTGCTGTTTGTCACATTTTAAAGCAAGGGAAGGGTAGCAGACGCAGCCACCGCAAAGCAGTTTGTTACTAAGCCAGACGAGGTGAGGGCATTTGGCTCATCCACCATCACTGCCAGAAAGATTTCTGGTATCTCTGCAGGCCTGCAGGTCCAGCTCAGTGCAAGCTCTGCAACTAGTTAGAGGCTGAAATAAAGGAACAAGCTGAATGCTGCCCTGCCCTCTCCCCTGGCACCTGGGGCTGGGGCTCCCAAAACCCAGGTAAGGCTTGCAGTACGGAAGTCCAAAGTTTGTTCTGCTCCAGCTCTTGCTTACTGTCTTTTATTTACCAGTGAAGACTGCTGCCAGGAGCAGTTCATGATTCTTCGACCATACTGCAAAAAGGATTGCATTTTTCAGAAGTTGTCCATGAAGTTCCTCTACCAATTGTTTATAGCTACTGTAATAAGACACTAGACAATACATTTAAAAAAACATATTTCAATTGTATTACAACCATGTTCTTTCAAACAGTGAAAACCTAGCTGGCTTGGTAATAAACAAATCCATATGCTCTATGCTACTTTGAAAGCTTAACTCAAGTGTTTCACATGCCCAAAGTTAAGACACTTGCCCTGTGCCCAACTAGGGAGCTTACCACACGGCTCACTGAGAAGGTGCATTCCCTTTCATACTCACAAAATACTATGAACTGTTTCTCATTTCTGCAATTCCTTTGACTTAAGGGCCAGGCAGAGGTAACAAATTCTATTGTTCAGGGATTTTTTTGTTTGTTTTTTTGCCTGATTTTTATTTCTATACAAACAACAGGGGAGAAACAAAAATATTATCACGAAGTCAAGAGTCAAACCAAATTAAAAGACAATGAAAAGAATTCACACTTTACTTCATGTCTATCCCCTACATATCCCCCTTGTAAGGCTTATGATGCTTACACAGTTTGCTGTTGATTAGAGTACTGTATTGTTTTATATAGGAGCACATGAAAGCCAGTTTTAGTCAAAAATTTCTTCCATCCCCATGTCAAGTTTTCCCATTAAAAAAAGAAAAAAATAAATTCATTAAAGTCCTGCAGACAAGACTCTGCCTGTGAATAATCCTCAGGCCTGAAGAGCACAGAACTGCTGAAACACAGCCAGTATGTGGTGGTCCAGTTCAGCTGTAAACAGGAGGTTCTCTAGGGTCACCATGTACTGCTGGATTATCTGGTGATGCTGGCAGATAAAAAACAAAAACAAAACACAAACCTTTATTGTTTTAATTTATCTTTATATCAGAACAGGCAGAGAAGACAAGACATGTAAGAATCACAGGTCAAATGTTTTCATCAAAATTGTTAAGCACATCTCATTTCCACAACACTGTAGCCACTGACAAGAAAAGCATAACGGAGAGTCACTACTGATTGCAAGAAGAAAGCATGTGCTGAAATCCTGTCATGAGAAGCACTGTGCTCCCTGTAGCTCTTCACTCCTGGGCCCTGACTTGTGTGCAGGATACCATATATCCTAGGAGATATCATGATATTTGCTTTCCTCTGAAGCCACATCTACTACCAGGGAAGGGTTCAGCCCAGGGGGAGAATTATACCATCACTCCCATTCTTCAACATACCTTCTGCTCACATAGCTATAATTTTCTACTACTGTCACTTTCATCCAGCTACCTGTGCTTGTTACCTGATTTAATACAGAGCCAAGAATCTGAAAATAATTTTCAATATATTTATGCACCTTATTAAAAGGAATTCTGTAATATTTCAATCTGCTTATTTAAAAGACATCTATTTTGGTATTCTTGTTCACTCACAACTTTGTCCTTACTCTAAACACACAGTTAAGAGCTCGGCGAAATTCACATCTTGGTATCTCTTTGCAGTATGCTCACAGTGTGGGAATTAATCAAGGACCAGTCATTCCACCAGTCTGTGGCCAGAACCAGCGAGCTACGCCCTAGCCCCACACCAGCCTTCAGAGAAGACGCGCTGCTGCCGCCACCTACTGCTGCTCCCACGGAGCGCTGGGCTCTCCAGCCACAACGCTGGCCCTACCCCTGCCCGCAGCCTCACAGCTGAGAAATAGAACTTACCTGTAGGAAGATTTGCTGCAACCTCTCTATACAGCTCTTGTACCAAGGTGTAAATACATCAATTCCACCAGTTTCACAGCGCACTAAGTGCTCAGTTAACAACATAATGAAACGCTGCAGGACAGGGAAGAAAAAAAAAAACCAACCAAACTTGCTCAGTTTTGTCAAAGGAAAGCAGGATCCTAATCTCAGGTGGGAGGATGTGGGGGGACAGAAGCTTTGAACAGCAACGTGAGAATAATTATTTTGTTTGGCAAACACTCTATTTAGTAAGCAAATAAAACCCAGTTACTTTCTGGTTGTTCAGGAAACTGTATACTAGCAGAACCCCTCTGTTCCTGAGCACTTGAAACTGAATGGATCCTGCTCAGAAGCAGTCTTTGCAGGGGGATGATCTAGATTGACTATAACACATAGTAAACCCATCAACCCCTTCCCATATTCCCATTCCCAAGAAGATGCCTGAGACAAGTGACACCGAAAGCTTATAAATCCAGCAACTTTAAAGCCTGAAAGTGAGGACAGACTTCGCCCATCATAGAATCATTTAGGTTGGAAAAGACCTTTAAGATCACCCAGTCCAACCATTAACCTAACATTACCAAGTCCACACTAAACCAATTAAGGGTAGACTAGACTAAACCACGTCCCAGAGTGCCACGTCTCCCCGTTTTTTGAACGCTTCCAGGGATGGTGACTCCACCACCTCTCGGGGCAGCCTGTTCCGATGCTTGACTACCCTTTCCGTGAAGAAATCTTTCCTAATATCCAATCTAAATCTCCCCTGGCCCAGCTTGAGCCCATTTCCTCTTGTCCTATCGCTAACTACTTGGGAGAAGATTACCTGGAATATAACAAGGAAGAGATTCTTTTGCTCGCTCTGGGCTGATTCTACTTTCTCTTGCAAGCGCTCTATCTGCTCTTCCAGGGGTCCATCTTCCCGATCGCTGCTTCGGTCATCGTCGTCATCATCATCATCACTGTCTCGCTGTAAGTGACAACACCACAAGACTAACTAACAACCCGGCTACCTGTGGATACTGCTAAAGCCCTCCAGTTCCACATATGAAAAAGTCTGCAGAGAAACTAAAGAGCAGCAACTGAAGCTGCTCTGTAGCTTGGTAAGTATTGTATTTTGAAGGACATTTACTTTGAATATAATTCAGGAAGAGATCTGGAAGAAAAAGTGCCAATATGGGAAACCCCTGGCGGGGGAAGTCAAGGTTTCAGAGAAACCAGAGCAAGCTTAAAGATCTAGCCTTTTATTTAGCGGAATCTCCCTGCTGACTTTATCTTTACCATATAACGAACAGCTTTTTAAAGAAAATCAGGCATAGATTTTTTTTTAAATTCTGTCCACTGCAGCAGGGCAGGTAATTAATTCAATGAACAGTTCTGAATTCTCATGGCTCCAAAAAATAAAGCACTTGTGCAAGAACTCAGATGAATCTGGCTGGTTAGCACAAAAGGACGACTAGAGACTGTAGCCCATGGTGTTACAGTGGGGACTCCCTATATTCATGATCAAAAGAGATGCTCTCAGACTAGAAAGGGCCAGCATCGAAACCAAACTACTAACTAGGAACACTGCATGTTCTCACTGCCTCAAAAAGAAAACAACACAACCACCACCAAAACCACAAAATACCCGTAAGTACCAGACTTGGGAGCTCAGGCAACAAAGTCTTACACAAGACTACAAGGGACATAGAGGAAAGGCAGAATCTGATGGATTATGGTACATTCAAATACAGATATTGCTTCAGTCTCATTGGATCGTTTCTGTGCAAAACCACCCATAAATTAACAGCTCAAAACTTCAAATATTTGTAAAAGGAGCGTGTGTAACTTGTGACAAATAGAGGGCCATGTGTTAACTCACCTACTGCTTAGCAAATGAAACTCACAACCTGAAGATAGTTACAGCTCTCAATCAGCGTAAAAAACAAAAATGACTTAGTAGAGCAAGTGAGAATTTAATTTTATTCTCTCTATAGAAACTTGCTTTTTCCCCATCTACAGAGGTTTCCTGAACTCAAAATGCTAGAGGACCAATAGGACCTAAGAGAAAGCATGTAAGCCTTGGACTGATTCCATAGTAAGGCAATCCACTTCATGCTGGGGACATCAAAACTCGATGGCTTACTTCCTCTAAAAGGAATGGTCATGCAGCAGAGCAACAGCCTGCAGAACTACTCACTGTTGCATACAAATGTTTCTTCCTGGCACAATACTCATTTAAAGTACTCAGTAATAAAGAGCTGCATCAGGAGACAAGTACAGAAATGAAAACACTGGTATATTTGTTTAGAGACGCCAGAGAAGCTCTTTGCCTCGTGGTAAGATCAATGACTGCATCTAGATCTTCAATAACCATGGGCATTTATTAACTGCTGATCAATGTAGATTGAGGATGCAAGTAACTAGGATGGCTGTTTCTGGGAGTGGAGGAAACAAGATGAAGGGGCTGGCATAAACCGACATTGGCAAACTGTGAGGTATCGGTGATCTCTCAACAGAAACTTCTGGAAAAATGACTCACTTGTGCAGATTTATTAAAAAAACACCAGCAGCCTCTGTGCCACGTGCCAAATTCTGACATGAACTTCATCGAAAGTTTTGGAGCTAGCTAAGGGTTTTATGCAGGTAATCATACTCACAGACTACGTAGCAAAGAAATTCTCTCTTGCTCTCTGCAACTCTCAACATGTTTGAGAACTGACTTCATTCTATCATGACTCAGTATTGCATTCAGCCAAGCTTCCTTGGCCTTGTCTTTTGCAGCTGCCACAGAAGACACTCTCTCACCCCATTTTACTGTCCCATTTGGGACAACAGAACATAACAGCGGCTGCTTGCTCATCAGTTTGTGGTATATAGTAACCCAGATCACACAAAGGTATTCAGAAAGTAAGCTGGAAGAAGGAAGTGCCAGATGCCAGTGTCACAATCCAGCAGCACCCATCAGAAGAACAGTAACAGCCAACTTTTTAATAGCAAATAGCTGTTTCCGTGCACTTCTGCATGGAAGCCACAAGAGTACTCTTTAACAGAACTTACTGTAAATAATTTGTAACTGTTCTTACTGTTAGCTAATAAGGTAACTGTAATCCAGATTAGAAGGCAAGTGGAAGACATGCTCGTATTGGAAGAGAAACTTGTGAAAGAGCGCTTGAACAGAGCAAATATATATGAAGCCCCTAAAGATTTTATTGAATTCTTAGATTATAGCTACCCTTTAGAAAGGTGGACTGAGAACATGCATCCAGTTTTTGATGTCTGCAGACATGCTTCCTGATAAACATATTTATTCAGCCCTTCCCAAAACCAAATGTGCATGAGTCTGACAGTATGCAGGTTTGTATAAGTTAGCTTAAAATAATTAAAAATTACAAACAAATTACTCACTCTTTTGTGCTGCCTGGCCAATCTTGCCTTCGTCTCCTCCAGTTCTTTATGAATCTTCAGAACATGCTTATTCATCTTACGAATTGTGGAATGCAAGATCTCCCAGATATAAAACCTAGGAAAGACACAAAGCTCAAAACCCTACATTACACACTACTCCAGGATAGAAAACTAAATGTAGTTTCTTACTGAAAAATCTACCTGGGGGAATTTAAAAAAATTTAGTATCATCTAAGACATCTACTGGAGTGAGCAAACACTCGGTATATAGGAAGACATATCTGTAACGTAAGAAAGCTTAACAATAATTTCTTTCCTATTTTTTGCAGTACACTTCCAAATCAGCATTGTACTTCATTCATATACTGCAAGACTACCAACATCAAATTGACTTCTCAGACCAAACACTTCTGTTCTCAATAAGCAATGTGTCAATGGTGGTACAAGTCACATACCTCAACCAAAGACCAGGACCACACTAAGCTAGCAGCTGTATAACAGACAGCACCAGACTTCGTCTAGAAATAGTTCTAGAGTTGTTCTGCTTTGGCAGGTTTAGAGACTACTGGCAAAGTGACATGCTAGCAACATTCTTGCACTGTCAGGTAAACATTCATACCCCAACTCAGAAAGAAAAACACTAAAGCACACATGTTGTAGAAGGAGCAAAAGCTTAATTGTACCCTTTTCTTCCACTACTCAGTTCTCATAGATTAAACTATGTACTAGCCGCTTAAAACAGTAATTCAGAGACAAATAACAACCCAAGAGAAGTTCTTGTTACCTAGTAAAATCATGTGCAAGCTCTGAAGAGAAGATCCAGTTTGCTACTGCAGCACAATCAACAATTTGTGTCCGAATCATCTTGTCCACAAGCACAGCAATCATCTATATTTTGTGAAAAACATGACAGTCATTCAAAATAAGAAAAGGGCTTGCACACACAATCTGCGTAAAGTATTCCAGCCTCAGATAAAACCAGAGATGATTTAGTGCAACTCTGTTAGTGATATTACTGGATAATTTCAAATACTTCAGGAAGCTGGGTAGTCTAACCTAAAACTGCTCAAATTAGAGAATCTATATTAATTACATAAAGCATTCTGGTTTTGTTTAACCACCTCTTCTACTTCCTGTGGAAGTGATGTATCACTCTTTGTTAACATACATACTTCCATACAAAAACAAAAAACGCAAGCATCATAATTTGAAGTGAGGCCTTAGTGACCCAAGTCCCAGTATTTGACATCGAAGTACTCAAACCAGAGCGCATATACCTGTCAGATCACCATAATGAAGGAGCTACTGTTAGCCTACTCCCCTTGAACTGCAAGTCTTCAAATGTGACAGTAAGCTCTTCTCTACAGGACCTATTCATTTCAGGACAGAGTCAGCGCCGTGTAGTCAATGGAAGTGTTTACTTGCTACAGGCATTGCCATGATTCTGGGGGAGTTGCAAAGCAATCTAGCAGGCAGCTGCAGAGAGGAGTTACTGACTAAAGCAGTTGCAAGCTGTTCAGAAAAAAGGCTTATCTTAGTTACTCCTGTGCTTGAATGCCACAGTATCTAAGAACCACAGCCTGCACTGTATTTATCCTTACAACCACCCATTGTCAAATAAGGAAGTGTAACAAAGCTCCTTTTAAGGAAGGAAAATTAAAATAACTGAATGAATCATACAGAAGAGTCAGCACTCAACTTGCAAGTCCCAGGATAGCATCCTATGCTCTGTTTGTCTTTCTGTATTGCCAGGAAGAATTTCTGATTACTGAGCCTGATCTTCCAAGAAATATAGACCTAGGATTTTGGGAAAACATTTCATCTCAATGTTAAAGTTTTTCTTTGCGAAGTCACCACCACAACCTTACTTATAGGTCCAGGGACTACTGACTCCTATTGCTAAATTACTACCTGCAGCATAGATCACTCATTAGCGCTATATGCCTTGCGAATACTGCTGAGAGTCTGAACCAAATCAAAGGACATTCCCATAGACATGGGAGTAGGGTGAGCAGTATGCAAACAGACTGGACAAGTGTCCTGCTGTCTAGGCACCGTTTTTTCTATGTGCCAGGGAGGTTGTGGACTCAGGAAAAAAAAGTGTTTGACCAGAAGCAAAAGACTGAACTGCAATAAATGCAAGAGAGGAAAATATAAGTTCCATGATCAAGTAGAAGAGCAGACCTTCAAAACTTTTGCACTTTCTATTTTTTAAAGCAATCTTGATTTATTCATAAAAATCTAACATGACTGTTTAGTCTGGGTTTGAAACCTCCATCTCAGGTTGGTCATGCTGCAATACAAAGGAACGAAGAGGAAGAGGATATGGATATTAGATTGCAGTAATGTAATTTCTTCTGATCCAGTTAAATGTCAGTAAAAAGTAGGTCAGACTGTAATCATCACATTTTCAAGGTCAGGTAATTTGGGTAGGAAGTTGGCTATATTAAAAAAATCCTGCTTGTTTGATGTTTTTACTGTACTTAGAAGAAAGGTGACATCCTGCATACGTATCTCTAGGTGCTCAGTTTTGCCCTAAGAAATGGACCACAGGTCTAGCAGCAGATGCAAGGATTACCCCTTGTTCTCAGTGGCATCACTTCTGGAAGTCTGGCCTATGCAGCTGTGAGGTACAATCCATTTTCAAGCACAATAAAGTGCAACACAAACAAACCAGTGAGGAATACATGAAATAATTAATGCAGGCAAATTCAACTTGAGTTTCTTATCGATTTCTATTTATAGAAGAATGACAGCTGAGGGAGAAAAAAAAAACTGCTGTGGAGAAACTGAACAGCTTAAACAACTGAAGAATTTTTCATAGGTCTTTTAGGGTGTTATTTCCTCTGGCTCAACAATAAACATAATCATGGCACTGTCAGACTAATCCGTTCTGAACAGCCACTGACTGCAGCTCCACTCACTCTGCCCACGCACAACAGTGACTCCAACATGAGCTTGGTGGAATAACTGTATGGCTTTCACTAGCACCTGAAAAGAAAAAAAAAGCAGCCCTAAAAACCCCCAGGTTTCCACATTTCTAAGAATGTGGCCTGCTTTCGATATAAGATCTACATCTGATTTCCATTTACACATCTACACTGTTTTCCAATTTTGAGAAGAGACATGATTTTAGCAAAAGTTATCTCTTGTATGACAAACAGCATAGTATGAATCTGAGTCAGAATGACAGCCTTTGCCCTCCCACAATGAACCTTGAGGAAGAAGTGGCCTCACTGATGGTATATATTTTATGCCCAGACTTCATTTTAGGCACTAGTAACCACAGCAAATACAATTTGAACTTTCCTTCAAATAAGATGACAATAGACAAGTTATTTTTAAAGGATATAAACCAAACTCTAATGTTTTCTATTAAATATGACCTCTGTGAGTTGAAACTCACAAAGATACTTGACATTGCAACCTCTTACCTGTGGATGATTCTTCCAAACCTCATATACAACCCTCAGAACATGGAGTTTCCCCTCATCACTTTCAGCAAGTGTTTTGAAGACTTCATGAAACCTGTTAATAGATGTAAGTAGCCAGTGGAGGGGTTGGTATCAGGTCAAAAAAGCAGCAGATACAAGGCAAGTGGTTTAGATTGGTCAAAAGAAAACATTGTGACTATCTGCAGCAATTCTTGAACAACTATTCCCTGGAAAACATAAACATCCTGAGCTAAAACAGGCTACAAAGATATGACAGCTCCTAAAAGCAACTCAGATCTTAGTGGTGAACCTACTCCCTGAAGCTGGGCTACATTTCTTATACTATTAAAAGCAGGAGGCACTTCCATGCTTCATGGGCTTACCTATACACAGCTGGAGCAAAAGTTGCTGTCTTGTGGGCCTTAGACCTTCCTCTTGATATATGTTTCCTTAACTTTAGACACTTACCCACTCTGGCTCTTTTTGAAGGAAATGCTGCTAAAAGCCTCTATTTTAGCAGAGTTACGCTGACTGCTACACAGCATTCACAACCCAGCTTATTGTAATATAACTATAAAGCATAAGAGGCTCTTTTTGATCTCATGGCTGCCACTGTTGCGTATGCAGTAGTGAAAATACCATAGCTCTAAGTATTCTTATCACCCTGCCTCTTGTAATACTGATTGCAGGTTACTACCCACAGCTTCTTATCAATGTTGCCTCTATAAAGTTCCCAGCTGCATGTTTTTGTAGTACTTTTATATATCTGTAAGGACAGATAGAAAAATAACTCATTAAGATGCATGCGGCTACCTTTCATGTATCAAGACCACTTAAGAGCAACTCCAAAGCACACAGGATTAAAAATTAGTTATTTTATCTCATTCTGCTAAAAAAAGTTGCAGTAAATTCGTTAAAGTTAAAGCGTATCTTTAAGGGATGCACTCTAACATATTTTAGAATGGATTTTACTGTGCTTTCATAGATAAAAGAAGTTTACAGCAGACTGCTTTGAAGTTTCATGTTTTCTTTTTCTTTCTTCATTTTTTTTACACAGATGTAACTGTTCTAGAGTCATAATGATAGTACAAAATATTGTGGTGGGAGCTACCCAGCCATTCAAATGTAAGGAGAAACCCTTGCTCCTCACCATAATCAGCAAATGAGTAATTCTAAAATGGAGTAATGTTCGAAACCTGTCTCATTTGTTCGATTTACATCACATGGCTGTAATGTACAAATTTCTGTTAATTCCATTCACATATATAACCTAGCATTTATGCTACCATTCCTTTGCTAAGTAGTGTCATTAGTTCTCCTAATCATATTGCATTGTGGAGCACCTAAAACATTGCTGAAGCTTGCAGTCCAGTTCTTTTATCATGCATTTCACTGTCAGAATTAAACAGTTCTGTAAGCCCCAAAATAATGCATATGTTACACTTACTTGGCCAGGGCACTGAAGGAGTGGCTGAAAGACTTTGCAGCTAGGTGCAGCAGGGTCTGAACAAAGACTTCTATTTTCAGAGGGTTGAAAGTAAATCCTTCATCTGCAAGTTATTTGAAGTTTAAACAATAAGTACTTCAAGTAGAGCACATAAGCTACTTGTAAAGCTGTAGAGATAACTTATGGTTTTAACTCATTTCACAAAAAAGAGTTTCATCAACAGCGTTTTGCAAGGCTGAGCAGCGAGCTAGTAAAGACTTTCCAAAACGTGCAGATCTTCAGGCTCCCATTTTGCCATGGGGAAAATGTGCAGAAAGAATGCCAGGTCAGTGAAGAAGCTATCAGATATACACAGCCACCCTACCAACGTGTAACAGCACTGATGGACAGCAGCAGAGAAAGACAGCAAAGGAAACTGCAGGGTTATGCATTAAGCTGAAGGCCTAGAAGACCATAAAGGATAGTGGATGAGGAGAGAGGAAGGTAGGGATGATTAGGGTACAGCAGTTGGCTATTTACAACATGGGAGGAGTCCAGCAAGTGTGCACAGCAAATATGGGTACTAGGGGTGAATGGTGCCAAGGTCCCCCCTGTAGCTGCAGCTACCTGCAGCTGAAGACAGGCAAGAGGGAAAGCATTCATTAGTGTGTGATGCCTAAAGCAAATCAGGAAACATGACAGTGGATCCCAGGGCAAAAAAAGAGATTGCTGCTGCTCTCTGCTTGCATAATAGAACATGCAAATATTACAGAAACACTGAAGCTGTCCCCATTGTAAAGACCACTACTTAATTCTCTGTCTCACGCTCCTTCTCACTCCCTAAAACTCACAGGCTTTAGGAACCAATGTTGTCTGTGGCTGCAAAGCTAAAAAGAACGTGAGTGGAGTCCCATCGTGAGTTTGTGTGTATGGAAGACTACAGCCAGCATGCTGGCTATATTATTTGTTGTGGGACTGCCCCGAGGGGAGGGAAGCTCTCAGGCAGGGCACAAGCACTGAATCTCAGGCGTGAGGAACAGCATGAACTGCACTCTGCTGCTGAAGGCAAAGGAAATGTTAAATTCTGTCACGCTACCTCTGTCAATAATCACAAGAAGACGCATCGCAAGCACAAAGTTACCTCTGTCAAGAAAAACAGGCCTGCCTCTGCATGCAAGATGTTTACAACAAACCCTAACAATGGTGTGTTATTTCCATGTACTGATAAATTGAAACCAACTATTAGAAGGAAAAGCATACAGTTCTGTTAACCACCACACCCATAGCCCCAAAGGATGGCAGATCAATCTACACACAAAAGAAATTACAGCCTGCCAAACATAACAGCATATATCTTACCATCATCATCATCCTGGTTTGGATTAGGCACATCTTTTAAAATGCTGAAGATTTCATCATTACTGGCCTTATTTTTAATTGCGATTGTTAAACAGAGTGCCACAGTATAGCCAGGAAGAGACCCTAAACAAAAGCAAAGGGGTCAAAAACATGTAGAAAGCAGGTGAGTATTTTTAACATCAGTTTGCCTCTCAGAGAAACAAGTACACTTCCCAGCTACACCTAAAACTAGCTGTTTCCAACATCATTGTCTACATCACTATTCCATGAAACTGCTCAACATGTTTCCTGGTTGTCACATTAAACTCAAAACTTGCAGTAGAACCTTTAGAGCTGAGGTCAGGTAATCACTCCCCTGACTAAAGCTCTACTTCAGCTTCCAGCAATTTCCTAAAAATACAATACTTCTTTGTTTTTCCTCACTGTATCTTTGATGATGACACTTTTATGCTTAGGATTGTCTTTATACTGAATAATAAAAGGAATAACAAGGTATCTGTCTACCTCAATCTTCACATCATCTGCTGCCTCTGTATGCTTCATTAAACCAAGTTTACTGGTAAAATCTTCTACTGTTTCATGAAGTTTAAAAAAAAAAAAAAAATCAACCCACATTATGACTTCATATGCTGACTTTTGCATTGTATTGTGCCCAAACAGGGCAAATGGATGAATTTTCCAATTAGACTTCTGGCAAACAATGCTGCACAACACCACAACCACCTCAGCAAGACTAACTTCATCTATCTGGATTTTCTTTTCTTCATAAAGTAACAAAGATGTTTATATTACAGAGATCCAGGCTTAATATGTATTAATTGCTCACGTGAAGCATATTTACCCATATGAAAATTATGAGTATTTATTTCAGCTGTATTCTTCTTTATGAAGACAACTGATATCACAGTCAATCTAGTGTGCTCCCTTGCTCTGAAACACTATTTTCTTCAACTTGACCCCTCAGTAACTTTAATACTTACTATTACTTTCATCTCCATATTTGTAAATGCACACCGGATTAGCAGGACTGAGGACGGAAAAACTTGCAGGAACAATGTCTATTATTCGCTGATGGTAGGAGAGTCTGGAAATACCAAGTTTCACAGCAGTAGAATTAAAATGGGAATAACACCAGGGCTAATTCTAAAGTGACTGCTTTATAATGGTTTTCCTGCATTTAACTTTCACAGAACAAAAATCATGTTTATGATTTTATCATTTATTAACAAAAATGATGTTTATACACCAGAATGGTAGTTTCTGCTGAGTAGTAAGAGCTAAGTAAACCAAACTTACTCTCAGATGCTTTCTTTTTGAACTCTTTGATGCTACAGTTTCATCCTCATACAATTAATTTAGCTTGTGAAAAGATTTAGAGGCTGCCTGGTAGGGTATTTTATGCAAAAGCCTAAGATGCACTGCAGAAAACTGGCAAGACGTTGGTATTCAAAGCAGAAAAAACATTAAACTGGATGTCTTCGTTTTACTTTCCAGCTTATTTCACTCCCACAAGGGCTTAATTTTGCTACCAGAGTTTTCAGTGAAAAGGAAGAGTGCACAGAAAAATTGCATTCCTTTTGCAGCATAATACTTTCACACTTCCTATACCGAATTCACCCAAAAGCGGATGAATATTTTCATGCAGGATGCTGAATAACATAGGCTTTTTGAACATTTTGCTCTTTCTCTCTCCTATATCCCTCTATCTCAACAACTGTAAGTTCAGCCCTGACTATACACAGTCTTGTTGTTGGGCTTGGGATTTTTGTTTGTTTGTTTGGAGGGCTGTTTGTTTGTTTTAAGGTCAATGAACATCAGCTCAGAGGCACCTAGAAGAATCAAGATGAGATTCTCAGTTTTTAGTGTAACTAATGATCAGTTCCCTCCATTTCTGTGAATGCTGAATACTCTCCAGGAATATTGCCTGAACTCTATTTCTTTCTGTGCCTATGGTGAAGCATGTCTTTTTGTAACTACAGGTGTGCATACCTAGGATAGATAGCTCACTACCATCTGCTCCACCTGTTTCTCCCTATCTCTGAAGTAGTGTCCTACAACAAGTAAAGCAGATTAAAATAATACAAGCAACAGACTCATCTCTGAACTGAAACTGAATTTTAAGAACAGACATGCCTAAAGACACGAGTCAGGTTAAAAGGAATCTGACAGTATCCAGAAGCAAAGATCAAACTTTGCCATGAATGCAACTATCAAAAGATCTTACTTACCGCATGCACTTTTCCAAAACCTCTCTCACAAATTTGGGTTTGGGCTTTTCAAGGTCCTGAGTAAGACAATCTGACCTATTCAAAGAAGAGAATGCAGTAGCTTTTAGGAAAGAATTTGTGCTTTAGTCTCTTTTTGTCTTGGTCTAATAGGTACAAAACAATCATGGTCTAAGGACAACTGGAGTGCCTGACACTTAAGTTTTACAGTGTAGGCAATTTTAAGACAATAAGGTAAGTTTATCACCATTTCCTTATTGGCCACTAGTGTTCTTGGAATCTCATCTCTGTGTGATATATCTTCAAGTAGCTTCCCTTCCCCCACCAGATTAAAAATAATTTGTGCTTACAATTAGCTGGCTTTCCCTTTCCTTAGGAAAGGAACCTTGTGTGATTTCATAGGCTGTTCCTCCCTCACAGGAATTTTTGAACTTCTGTCTGATTTCAAACGCACTTCAGATAAAGAAAAGTCTCAAATACAGTCACTTGCAAGATTTATGCTAAATGGCAGCTTGTGAGAGAAACCCACAGAAGTACTGCCATCAAGGAACATGCAAGCAAAGAAAAATCAGCTCTTTGAAGACTGCTGCCTGGTCAGTCAACGTGGATATATAGCAAGCACTTAACTCCACATGAGGACAACACAAGAAACTTGAGTAAAGTCACAAAAATTTATCACAAGAAGGGCTCCACTCCTCTCAACAAAGACACTTGGGCAGATCAGCTATGGAAAGCATATACGACAGCCCGCTGTGGAAGTTAGTGTAGGGAGGGCTTAACAATAAGGTGATCCCTCTTGCTACATGGGTGCCTGGAATGGAAAGCTCAGGGGAACCTGTGATTAGACATTGCTGGAGTCCAGGGAGCTCCTGCTACAGATAGGAGTTAAAGATTTGGCATAGTAAGAATGGATGGCAGGGCCAGGTCTGATGGAACTTCAGGTACTAGGACCTGGCAGGAGGGAAACAGATCACAAGGTCTCAAGGATAAAGATTACAGTGAAAGGTTTAGGGTAGGACAGAGAGCAAGATTACAGAATAAATACAGCATAGAAAGAGTCACAGCAAATCATTAGAAGTAAATTAGAAGCCATTTTGGAAAATTTGCTAGCAACTGATTGAGGGTGCAGGACAAATTAAAGAAATCATATTTAATCATATTTCAACTTCCCATGTTTAGGGAATGCCTACACTGGCTTGAGAGTTACCGCAAAGTTCACCAGGGACAATACAGTGACTAAAGAGATTATCAAGATAATCTACCACTGAGTGGTGGTGAACAGATTAAGAAAGATCTCTGAAGAGATGGAAGAAAGCAATTAACAGGGCCAGTATGCTTCCTGGGTAGGTTTGAAATTTTAAGGTTTTTGCAGTTATCAGGTTTGAACCAAAAGGAGAGAAACTTACCAGTCTTCCCAGCTCCAACGGAACTGGAAGTTGCTCAAGTGGTGAGAAAACCAGTTAATAAATCTTTATTAAAAGAAAAAGAAAGCTCCATTAAATGCCAGAAGTGCAGGAAAACTTTCAGTTGAGATTTTCTTATAAATGCATTCTACTTTTCAAAGAGTCAGAAAGAAGCTTTTGCAGACAAATAGCCTGTCATGTTCTGTTGTTTCATACAAAGAGATGACCTATTAAACTAACAATTAAAATGTAAACTTACGGTGAATATGCAACTTTCACATTTCTGATGAGTAATTAACAGCTCTCCTACACAACGCAGACTTCACTCAAAGGGCAAAATCACCACCACTCTCCTCCTCTGGGTGGCACATACGCCGGTTAACTCCACTTCCAACTTGCCTCCCAGACTGCTAGGGAGCAGGCAGAGTACTAGATAATGGCATACTACGCAACTATGAACAGCTTTGAACACAGAAAAGTTGTCACCAATCTTAACTGTCCTGTACAGCTAGAGTTGTGACCTCTGGGGGAGTGTTTCTGGGAAGGAGAGGCAAGCAGTCAGGCCTCCACCTTTTCTTTAGGTTGCTCAAAGCCAGAGCCCAGAAAACATTTTGAATAGCACCAAGCAGTTCTAACAAGGATTTCTGACTACTCTTTCCATAGCCTCTTTATTTTTCCTGTCCATTGCATATTGAGAAATATTTTCCATTGTCTCCAAAACATATTTACCTATCCACACATGTTGTATTCATTGTATCCAAACGCATGTAGAGCATTTCTGTGGCTTGTGCAAGCTGAAAGTTTCTTATTAAGGTCAACAGAAAAGCACTAGATAAGTCAGATGTTATTCCTTTCGGTTTGTGAATAGAATGTCATCAACTTTTTATACTGAAAGCTCCCTGGGTCTACTCCAAAATCAGGTAAATCACAGTAAATCCACAGTGGAAAAAATCAAGCATATAGTGAGTTCCACCCTTTAATCCCAGTCTAGTTTTCTTCCAGTATTGCAATGAGACTGCTGGCTTCTTCCATAGAAAGCCAGAACTCGCATCACGTGACAAGCAAAACTGCACTGATATGAACAGACACCAGCATCCTTAAGGAAGTATTTCTGTAATCTCACCAGTCTAGCTTCTGTTGATGCTTATCCACATCTGTGATGATCACTGAAGGCTTGAGAAAGTATGTCTACACTGACTTTACCCAGCAAGGGCTCTATCCTTCTTACAGTGTCCCTATTAACATTAAAAACTTTCTGCATGGACGTCCACCCAATTCTAGAAATAGACTTAGCTCTAACCATTGAGATTATGTGATTTGCAAACAGTGAGTGGTATCATGAAGTAGAATGAAAATCTGGGTATGAAATTACCAGTAGATAGACATCTGTTAACCGTCCTCCATTCTCACAGTCTGTAGCTTGATCTAAACTGATGATCTAACATGATCTAAAATGGCAGCAAAGCAGGGGCAATGTAATAACCAGAATTAGCTGGGAGTCATGCCTCCTTCCTCAGCATTTAGCCACCCTGTCTGAGCTGACAGATGATTACTGACCTTTTGAATGCTCCTAGTGGGAGCACTGAGTGGGAACTCAGGCAAGTTCCTTTAAATCATCTGCTACACTTCCTACTGAAGGAAAAAAAAAAAGAAAAAAAAGAAAAAAAAGAAAAAAAAAAAAGAGTAGGAGCACTCACACAGTTGTTAGAACAAAAGATCAAGGCTGTCATTTAATTTCCTTCTCAGCCTTTAGTGTGTCTGTGACCATGCCATGCATTGTACAGCCCTAAACAGGCTGCAGTGACAAAAAGGAATATTATATTTTATCCCTTCAGCAAGACAGCCTATCTTGGGAAGGTCAGGGGAGGTACCAGAACATTGTCCAGAACGCTGAAGAGTCTTGCCCACTTGGCAAATCTAGACCTGCACTAAGTGGGCTGTGCTATTCTTTCATGTGAGTGTTACAGGCAAAGTTTCATTCAGCTGCTATAAAGATTAATACTGCCAGTATTTAGCGCTATCCCATCATCCACAGAACAAACAGAATAAATACTGCATTTTATAAATGCAGCACAGAAAGGATACAACTTGTGGTAAAGAGCCAGGCTGAAGCTTGCACAGTTCAATCAGAAGCGTTGTGTACATGACTTCAATGTGTGGTGGAGATGGAAGTTGAAACAATTCTGCAAATATTACCTGTAGGAGAGAAAGGCACAGAGCACAGTCCAATGTAGTCTGCACAACCCTCAGCTTTGCAATAGTGGCCATCAATCTTACAAAAGGCCCATACTATTCTGTCAAATGCATGTTCCAGGAAAAAGAGAGAAACTATTTATAAAAGTAGTGGTAACCCTACGCTGTACTGATAACAGTCCACTAACTGCCCTATCATTTCAAACTAACACAACACCAGCATTATACATTTATTATGTCTAACAAATACACCATGTAACTGTAGAGATGGACATAGTTATCATATGACCTACTACAGTGCTACCACATGATCTGAGAAAAGCAGAAATCAACTGGTGCTGTTAAATAATAAATGTAAATATTTAAGATAGTAAATGAAGCCTAAACATTTAGTATGAAAGACTATTTGCGTTAAAATTACATCTGCACCTTTTCCATCATGTCCTCTTTTCTCCTATACAAAAACTTATATAAATAATGCCACAACTTTCAACTGAAAATTACAACCAGCACTTCGTACAACAAAAATACAGGCTCAGTACTCTTTGGCAGAGGATCCTTCTAAGAAAACTGAAAACAATCCTGCAGTCAGCATTCATGTGTTTATTTTCAAGTTTGCCTACAATAACAACATGTCAATCTTGAAGGGCTACGAAAAGATCATCATTGTACAACATTCGCCCCTGAGTTTCCGTTTATTTTGCATGCCATTGTCAACTACATTTAAATTACAAAGGAATCAGGAAACTTTGGTTCATTATGGTCAGTCCATTTCCTCTTTAACTTTAAACTTCCGAATAAACATGGAAGAATTGAAGCTTAAATGAGTAAGCTTTAGAAAATCTTCTTACGAGTGTAAGAAATCAACACCCATATATAGACTCCACAGACAGCACATGAAAACACATTGACTAGAACTAGTTATTCTAAGGAAGGGCTTGAGAGCATGAAGAGACTACAAGGAGCTGAAGAACCTTTTTGTGACAGTGTAATTTGGACATACTGTTAAGACAAGTATGGCAAAAAAAGGTAGGGGGGACCCTGCTAGGTAGAAAACTGTTCCTTTTCTCAAGATAGGAAATAACAGCAACTGGATGATCAGTCATTATCTGTTTGAGATACTGCATACATAACACAGTTATGCGTGGAAGCATTCAAATAACGGGGAGACGTGGCACTCTGGGACATGGTTTAGTCTAGTCTACCCTTGATTGGTTTAGTGTGGACTTGGTAGTGTAGATTAATGGTTGGACTGGATGATCTTAAAGGTCTTTTTCCAACCTAAATGATTCTATGATTCTATAAAACTCTATTTGTGACACTCATCACATGTTCATTACCAAACACTCAGATTAAGTGTCTCAAAGTGGCATACCATACTTTGTGCAAATAACAAGGCCACAAGAAAGATCAGGACACTGATGATCTGAATGTCCGAACTCTGTCAAGTGTAAGTTGTACCAAAAGCTGTAGGAGCACAACAAGGCACAGCAGTCCAACAACCCAATGATGCTGCCCAGGCATTCTCTGTTCACAGCCACCAGAAATATCCACACATGGGTCTATAAGAAGCTACTGAGAGAAAGGCATGGATTCCAGGTAGCATGAATCATTCTGTGCTCAGCCTGACAAACTATGACATGGAGCCTCAGGGACCTCAAAAGCAGGCATACTTGGGAAGGTACTGACAACCACTTTCAGGCTACGCTTACGTCTGCCTAACTTATGTTCTGAACCTTAAATAACACTTTCCTTTATTTGTTAGACCATATTATTTCTACAGTTCTGTGGCTTACTAAAAAGTTAGTGGAATTTCACAGATTAAACTGTTAAATTGTTGTTGAAAGCAACATATCACCAACTTGACTGTTGAGAACTTACAAGGGAGCAGTAGTAAGCAGAATGAACAGAAGCCTGAAAAAAGCATGTTAAGCCTTAAAAACTCTGGAGCTTCATTCAAAGTAAGCAGACAGAGACAAGTAATGAAGTTAATATTCTAAAATAACTCAAAACTGCAAGAAAAAGGGAATTGTTACAGTAATAGTCAAAGAATTTGTACATCAATCTTGCACTTCTTTCCAGTAATTTCATCTATGCGAACCGTTGCTATTTTCATATCCTACAAAGTTTCTGAATCAAAGAATTTCCAGGGCCTTTAGGTAACTTATTTCATCAGGAATTGCAGTAACTATTTGTTGGCATTAATGTACAGCTGAGCATGAAGGACACAGCCATATACAGCACCTGAAGATACGATAAGACCACTGAAGATACTTCGATGTTAAGGCAGAAAATTATTGTTAATTTTAAGATTCCTCTGTTCTGAATTCAGAGTACAAAAAGAACAAGCTGACCAAAAGTAATGTAACTTTACAGCATTCAGAATATTTGGCATTTTGGTGCCAAGAGGAATTCTCAATCCCACTTTTATTAAGACAAATCTTCTACATAAGACTATTTCTTGTTATAATTAGCTCTGAAATTCCTACTGATAGATACTTCTTCATAAAGCCTTTATATGACAGGTTGCCATCATTACTGAAATCTCTTAATCCCTTTCAACTTTTGACAGAAATTAACGAAGTTTTATACAGCTCTGCATCTTGAAAACAGATCCTTGAAAGGAGGCAGCAAAAGAAAACCTACACTGTTCTTCTGATACACATTACGGTTATTTAAAATTCTCTAATATGGAGGATGCCCCAGAGGAAACACACTGCTATTTCACTGCAAGTTCTTTTCAGGGCCAGTAGAACAAAATCATTTAGAAGATCCAAACATAGAGTCATGCAGAATGGCTGAGTCTGGCTGTAGATCACCTAGTCAAAAGCCCCCTGCATAAGGCAGGGTCACTTAGAGCAGGTTGCTCAGGGCTGTGTCCTGTTAGGTTTTGAACTTCTCTAAGGATAGAGACTCCGCAACTTCTCTGGACAAATTGTTCCAGTGTTCAATCACCTTTGCAGTAAAAAAAAAAAAGATTTTTCTTATGTTTAAATGGAGTTTCTTGTATTTCAATGCCTCCATTTGCTCTTTTATTTTAATTCAATTTTTTTTAAAATAGAAGTGACTCAGCTGTAGCCATCTCAGACTGCATGATACATTAGAAGCATCATATGTAAAACTTCAAAAGTTTGAGAAACACCACTGCCTGGATTACTAGTGCACTAAGAAATTTTAGTACTTGACCAAAGCTCCATGCACCAAGTCAAAATGACAACAAAAAGCATAGAACTAACACTCTGCTGTATACAACCTGCTTATTTAAAAGCCATTGGTTGAATTCAACAAGGTTCTGGTTGACTCCCAAATCAAACTGCAATTTAACGGACCTATCATGGAACTAACTGGGACATGTTACTCGTGAAATAACAGAGTTACAAAAGAGATTATCTATAAAATCCATACCTCTACTATGTGGTAGTTCAAGGGGATCTTGTTATTTCCTGGATAGCTCAACAGCTGTGCAGCACTGCAAAACCATAGGTACATTTAGTTCAGAACATAACAGAGCAAATGTGATGTAAAGATCAAGTAACAAGGTTACAGAAAATGCTTCATTCTGGGCAAGAGTTCACACAAAAGCAGCACAAACAAATCAACAATCCTTCCAAAGTCTGTCCATTAATCCATAGAACACTTAAAAACAGACCCAGCACAAGAACACATCAAGCATTCCCTAAACTATGATTTGTAATGATGTATTTTATCTCTATGTAGTTACATCACTTGAACACTATACTGCTACGCAAAATAGTTTTGCATAAATAGTCACAGTGATCTTTAGTTCTGGCATGCGTATATTAAAAGAAAAAAAAAAACCAACCAAAAACCCTAACAACAGATGTTCAGAATGACTTGAAAGCACAATTAAGCTAATGGGTTATGTAAGAAACTCTCAGGCTTCAAATGCTTCACATTTTAATCAGCTCATTATCACCTATCACTATTACAAAGCAAACAACTGCTACTTCCTTGATTTTATTTCTACCTCTCCGGCAAATCTTGTATCTCCCTCTAGTCTTTTACTTTCCTCTGAGGATTAACAAAGACTATCCTAGTAACTGCAACAACCCTGAATTTTAGTTTCTGTTGAAGCAAACAGCTGCAACCAAACACATGCCATCACCAAAAACATTCTCTCTGTCCATTTTTTGCATACTGTACAAAGCTTGGTGGTTTTCATTCGGACATGTGACACCTGTGGCAAACCATCTCGGTTATCAATTACCCACATTAGATATTGCTCAGACAGAAATGAAGAAAAGTGCCCTGACTGCTTCCTGGCACGGCTGAATTAAAACTAATGAAACCTGCTGGCCCTGCAATGACTCCCTAGAGCTCAATTACCTCTGCCATGTAATCCCAAAGAGAAGAATGCAACAAGGAGGAGTAGGAAGCAGAAGCGTGTTCATAAACACCAGCGCGGTCAGCTGCAGATAAACCAGCTCAACGCTCACTGTGTCCCAACAAATCAGCTGCTTCAAAATTCCAGGAATAACACAACCACACTCTCCACAGTGCTCCCATGAAGAATAAGGTGTGTCTGCATATTTTTTGCAGCACATCCTGTATTATCAAGGAATTCCCTTCCCAAGCAGCCACTGTCCCCCTGGATCACACAGACTCTCCATTATCTGGATATTACAGACACATAGTATTCCAGGCAACAGTTTTAATACAGTTAAATGCAGTAAATCAAGTTTCATCAAATGCTCTGGAAATGTTTAATCTTGAGGTCTTGTCTAACCAATGCAAGACTGCATATCCCTGATGCCACCGAAGCCACAGTAGCATATAAGAAGTGCCAGGGCCCCATAGTGCTAAGCTCTTCCTACCAAGTCTTTCTCTCCTTCCAGTGGGATTTGATGATGCAGTGAAGGTTCTCTTCAATTACAAATCGTTCAACAGAGTGGCTGCCAGGCATGACAGGGCCCTGGTAAGAAAGAATTAAGACTCATGAAAGATCACTGCTAATGCTACAGGTAGCAAGCTATCCTACATACTTTACAGGTGGAAAAAAATAGTCCAACTTCCACATAAACACAGCAAGGTCTCAGCTGCCCTGTATCCTTCAGGACTGAGAAGCTGGTGTGACACAGTTCCACACAAACCTCAGACTGATGTTTAAAACAAAATGAATACTAGGACTCATTACAAAAAGAAATGGGAACAAAACTAGAGAACGTGATTTTAAGTTCATGGAGCATCCACTTCTTCCTTTGCTCTATGGAGCCATCAGGCAGGCTACCACCATGCAGCCTGGGAAAAAAAAAAAATCACAGTTGAGCTGGAATATGATAAAGAAATAGAGCCAGGAACAGCCAGGACAGAGTGGAAAGAATACACAGTCATGGTCTCATTCGTTGCAAAAACCAGGGGCCAATAAATGAAGGTAAAAGGCAGCAGACAAAGCAAAGGAAGGTATAAAAGCACTTGGAGAAAGCAGTATGTATTCTTCTCATATTCCTGTACACTTTTGTCTACATATCTGCTGTTGACCAATGCTGGAGGCAGACTGTTGAGATGGATCAATCTTCTACCCACCCCAATTAAGCACTCCTTTGTTCCACAATATGCACCAACAAATTTTAACAGATGAGTAAACAACAGTCTTTAAACATTACAATAAATATCTAGCCTGGAAAAAGACTCAAGTGACCAACTTTATGGAAGGCAAGTCTAACCCTGTGTCGTGGTTTAGCCCCAGACAGCAACTAAGCA